ACTACCTACACACACTATTGTCCCGTCACGTTGTGAGCGTCTTATATATATACCAGACAAACATATATCTAGTAAATGCTACGGCATTCACGAAGGTTCGAGAGAAGTGGCGTGGCACTAGTCACGTGACCTCGCTGACGCAACAATATTTTCATTGTTAAAAGCATTTTGTTATGCAACGTTATTGATTATATCTTAAATGTTTTGTTTCATTTATTCGCTTATTGTGACAATAAATGTAGCATCCATTGTTTGTTTGTTTTTACTTTCTGTATTTGATTTTGTTCTGTTGTGTAACGATTGAAATGTCATAGTGTTTTCTGGTTATGCATTAAAAGACTATTTCTTGCCATACAAAATTATTGACTATTAAGTATCATTGTTACGTAACTTTAACTATGTATTATTTCTTTGTTAAAGGATTTTGAGGTCTGTTTTCAGGACTAAGAGAAAGTTAGGAAACTCCTTCACGAGTGTGGATTTAGATTTTATTGGTTTTTAAGACTAAAATTAATTAATTAATTAAACATATTTATTGAACATGACATTTTCACTAGAATCGGCAACAAAGCCATGGTAGTTTAGACGTTTTGGCCAAGGAAAGCTGAATGTAGTTCAGTTTGTAAGTTCTGATGTCCCCACCCTATAGCTATCTTTTAACATTGGTACGAAACAGTAGAGCGATTTCAACAGAATCTACGTGGGTAGGATAACCTAGTTCTGAAACTTGTTGTATTATATCTTGTAATGTATACAATAAATGAATGTGTGTACAATGCTTAACTCGAACAAATTAAGAGAAAGAATTGGTTTACCAAATATTAAATAAATTATTTATATATAAAGCTTAACTGAAAAACCAATTCATATGTGGAAAATGATTCAGTTTATATTATACATACTACCCATTACCCTTATGAAGTTAACATCTTTCTCGGATGAACAAGGTGGTCCAACAAAACAGGTTTACACATGCCTAAACAGGTCACCTGGTGCTTCAGTAGCTTTTTCATGAGATTTAATAGTAGTTGTTTACTTTTTTATTGTTTATACGTTTTTTTTTCTTAGGGTTATTGGTATGACAAATAAACTTTTAGTTTTCTTTAAATGTTGTGTATTAGTCTTTAAATGTTGTAAAGCGTATTTTTAATTTTAAGCCAATAGTTAATTTCCGTATGAATTGGTTATATATTTCTGTGATCTAGATTTATTTCTGTAACTTCTATCATTCTCTGTATTGCTCTTAATTCATAAAGATAAGAAATGATTGTCTTTCTTAGTTCATAAGGATTTTCTCCACCACTTGCAGTAACATCAACGTTTCAATCATATCCACCAAGTGAAACAAAAAATAATTTAAATTTCTTGGAAATTGTGATTTGAATTCAATTCTTCCATGAAATTTATATATTCTCCACATTATGAAGTATGTACTGTTGGATTTGAAATGTTAAAAAATAATCTTGATACTTCACACGTTTATCTCTCTTGCAAATACCAACTAATTAAATGCATTGACAATTATTCTTATAAGAATCTATTTCTATGTATTTATATTTGTAAAAAAACTTCTTGATTAATAAAATAAATAAAGGCTTTAGAGACATACATTAGTTTATGTGTTTGTTATTACTACAATTTATGGAGTTTCTTCAGAAAGGGCTCTCAAAGGCCACTTTATATAATACAAAAGCTTACAGCAGTGATTCCCAAACTCTTTTAGTCTGAGGCTCTCTAGATGTGAATAAAAACGTTTGAGGCCACTCAACCTATAACCGCTGTTATTAACATTTGACAAAAAGTACAACATATGTAGACTAACCTGTCTTACGCTTACGTTATAGGTGCTTAAGTGTGGACACAATCAGTCAGAACTCTCTCGAGTCTCATGACCGAGTGACGTGTTTGTCCCCCCCCCCCAACTACTTTAGCATGGTGATTGAAAAACAGTGCGTTAGTAAAAACAATAACATCTCCTTTCGACATACTGTATCATTTAATTAATTCAACACAATTTTTATTGGCTTATTGTTTATTTAGGATTAAAATTAATTCTGCATCTTGGTTTTCGGTTCATTTTTTGGCGGTCCCCAAAATGTCCGCGGCTCCCACTTTAGGAAACATTGCATTACAGAACTGTCTGATTATAATGCGAAACAATTAACAAATAAATTGTTTCTGAATTACACAGCATAGAAATTAATCATTTCAAGCGAAGACATTCATAATTTAAACAAAAAATAATAGAAACATTTTTGATTATTACACAGGAAATTCCATTCCCAACTACTTTGTTTGTTTGAAGTTAAGCACAAAGCTACTCAGTGGGCCATCTGTGCTCTGCCCACTACGGGTATCGAAAATCACTTTTTGGCGTTGTAAGTCCGCAGACATAACGCTGTGCCACTGGGGGACCAACTACTTTGAAACGTCTCTGAATTCTTATATAGATAAACCTACTATAAAACAAGACAAGCACTGGTTTAAAAATAAGTATAAGAAGACTTTCTGTAAACTGTTTTACATATGATCAGTATTACGATGGAATTGTTGAATTAACTAAGAAAATATGATTTACTATTTATAAAAGACTATACAGTTTGACTCAGTAAATAATACTTCCTGAGCTAAGTAAATCCATTTATTTATTTAATGATGCTTTATAAGGTTTGATACATGTACACACACACAGATAAAAAACAAAACAAAAAAAAAACAAATCACCATTCATCTAATATTACATGTATCAATAAACCTATTATACATTTGTAAGTCTGAATTGAAAACAAATTCTGGGAAGCAACTGCTGTCACAAAAAAGAGTAACATTACATATCCACATACTTCTTCTAAGCACAGTTCTTAGAAACATACAAAAATGGGGTCAATCATACACAGTAGAGAAGAATCTGTGTTGTTTACGAAAACAATTCTTTATCAATTTTGAATACAAACAAAGGTACATACATAAAGTAATGAAAAATGATGACAGAGCACAAAAGTCTTACATGGTACCAGAAATGATGCACAAAAGTGTTTCCTGTAAATGTACACCAATAAGAAAAAGGAATAAAATTTGATACAAACATTATATTTCTTGCTAAACAGTATGGCTTATCAGAACTGAAGAAATTATCCTTGAGAATTTTACTTGAACTTTCCAAAACAAAATCTTTAAGTATATTCATCCATAATACTTAACATGACTAATCCAGTTAATGCCTAATGTCTCAAAAATTATTACTAGTCTTGCGCCCTATCATATAATTTCTTTTTATCTATGCAGATAATGTAAACTGAAACATTATTCATACTTTCTGAGCTTGTGTTTTCGGTATTATGTACACGTATATACAAATATCAGGAATTACCTTATCCATTTGAAAACATGATTGAGCACAGAAATATTTTAAATTTTGATTCAGGGAATCCTAAAATTAAAAGTTTCTCAAAAACTTGTACTGAATGTTTGTTTTTTTGTGTTAACTATTTAATCCTTTCAAATTAAAACCCTGTACAGGTAAAGTTAAAAGGTTCAGCTTGAGGAAAAAATTTTACCCTTAATATAGAGGTGGGAGATACATAATTAAATAGCTTGTGCTTTCATTTATGTATGTTTTCTAATTTGTCATTAGTGTACAATTATAAAAAAAAAATACACAAGGTGTTGTGTAAACATGTAATGATATAACTTATGAATACACATCTGATATCATTTCAAAGAGCTATTCAACAGCCAGAAACTACTTTTTCTGACTGTTATTTAAAAAATACAATCAGCACTTTTTACACTAGTAGCTGAAAGGAACAACAGTTTGTCTTTCTTAAATGATTCTGAAAATCTTTTCTTAGAAAAGCAACACAAAATTGTACAACCACCAAAGTTCAAACCATTCTTTGTCAAATAAATTTCTAAAATCATTCTGCTTTCAGAACTTCTTCCATATTTTTGGCATAAATGATGAAGTAGCAGTGTAGTTTATGTTAGAAAGTGCATTCATGCTACTATCTTGAGATGTTGAAGGAAAAGGTGGTGGGAGGTTTGCAGTTATTTGGTGAGGTCCTGGTGTCCTCATTGGATTCATCAATTTTTCTGAGAAAGGTGCCATGTGCTGGGAATACTGACTATTTTGTGAGGTGAAATGATGGCCTAAATTTTGAAAAGGGAGTACAGGCATAGCCCAAGTGTTTGGTGTAGTCTGACTGAGTGACTTGTTTTGAGAAAATAAACTTTCTCCTGTCTTTAAGATTTGTGAATTCCAGCCACATCCACTTTGAATGTTTGTCTCCTTGGACTCTACATATTGTCCTGTCATGTTTTTGAAGTTGTTATTTCCTGGTCCTATTATAGTGTTGGGTTTTATCCATGGATTAAAATATGGTTGACAAGGAATATCATTTTTAAATGGTACAGAGTTTCCAATATTTCCCTTTTGTTGAAAATAAACATTCTGAGCAGTTGTTTTATCATCACCCAAAGGTACATTGTATTGATGAAATTTTGTTGATGGTCCAGGTGAAGAGCTTTCAATATGATAAGATTCATTTTCTAGGCATTTTGCTAAGGTTGATCTTTCCTGTTCAAATGGATTGTACATATTTTGCATCTGGTTCTTTTGGTTTTCCTTAAACTTTGATGAAACCATTACTTCAGAATGTCTTTTGATATCATTCATTCTACTTGTAACTTGTCCTTGATTAATAGTGGATCTTAAATTGGTTGCATATAAGGATTTCTCTTGTGCTATCTGTTTAGTATTCTTCATTTCTCTTGCCCTTAATGACCCAGTTTGGTTGTCATTTTGAGAAGTTTTAGTTCCCAACTTTTGAAAATTAGTATGAATAAATGTATTTCGTCTTCCTTTTCTTTTCCACCATTGTCTCTGCTTGTATTTTGGTTTAAATTTTGATTTTGTTTTAGGTACACCCTTTGGTACCTCAGATTTGAAAGGTTTATTCGTACAGTATGATGGAACAATTGTAGTTGACATTGGTAGTGATTTATCAAAAGATGATAATACAAATGGCTGAGGAAATGAACCAGGACCTGAATTCATACATGTCTGATCTACCTGTGTTTGCATGGTATCAGCTGATAGTTGAATCCCCAAGTTTGACAGAGCTTCTCCAATTCTGTGAACAAGAAAAATTCCCTGGTCATTTTCAAAAGGAATATTTCTTTGCCAATCAGAATGAGATGTGGTCCTGAAAAAAGATGATGAATCTTTATTAGCTTCTGAGCATGCACTTGTAACAGTGCTACTACCCTGCAAGTATCCTAACTGCTGAAGAACATTAGTTAATACAGATTCAGAAATGTTTGTCATTCCCAATTTTGTCAAAACAGAAGCAACCTGATTAGCAATGGACTCTTTATAATCTTCATTGAAAACGTTCCCAGGTAAATTATTATGGGAAAAACTATTCTGATTGAAAGCTTTTAGAAGTTTCAGTTGTAAATCATCTTCTGGTCTTTCTGGTGCTGGAAACGTGGTCCATTCTGGAAAAGTTGAACTGCCATAGTTACTCACATTCTTTTCAGAAAAACCAGGGTGTGAAGGTTTGGAATTATTTATACTTGGCAGTAAATGAGATTCTCTTACATACCGCTTTTCTGGTAATGATGATTCATCAACTTCAATTGACCTTTTCCTCCCAGAGTTTTGTTTTTTCTGGTTGGTTGACTGCCACATCACAATTCTTTGATGACCTAAAGACTCATTGCACAGGTACTTTTTGTCATCTATAGAACATAAGTTATTTCCTTCATCTGAGATCATCTTAGAAGAATCAAGCATTTCATTTTGAATCAATTTCATTGGCATTACATTATCAAATTGCTCAATGGAGGAACAAGCACCAAAACGTGAAAAAAGGCACTGTTCATTTCTTCTTCTTTTTATCAATTCCATCCACTCTCCTTCAAAATCATAACAATCTGGTTTTATTCCCTCTTTCAGCAACTCATTTGTCCTCTTTGAACAAAATACCTGCCAATTATCTTTAGTACTCACATTACTCTCTTTTGGGGTACCTGTTGTTCTTATAGTCCGCTTATCACTGTTTTCTAGCTCTTCCTTCCATACTGAAAGGGAAGAAGAATCTTCTGTTTTTTCAAGTCTGAAACCATGTCCATCCCGCCATTCTTCTGACTGCTTTTCTCTTTGACTCAGCTGGACAGTATCTCTTTCTGGTAACATACGCCATTCACCATCACTGGTTTCCATAACTGAAAAGAAAATCAAGTAAAAATAAATTATGTATAAACACTGAAACTTTTGTAAAAAAAAACTTAATATTCAGTTTTATTTGTGAGATCTGTACAAATTTCAGCCAAAACAAATAAATATAAAAGTTGGAAGACAACTGTTAACCTAACAAATATAAATAATTTTTTTTTGCTTTTTTATTGCTACACTGCAGTTTCTGAGATAAGACACCAAGATTACTAACAATTATGTAATTCCTCATTCTTTTTAACAAAACATCAAATAATTATTTCCCATTATAGTACATTCAACATTTTTATTCTTTTCAGTCACCTTATACATTTTAAGCTACTCACACTGAAGTTAATTGACTGCAATCAAAATTTAAAGTATTGAAATACTACAATAAAATACAAAGTAAATCTGTTCACTGACAACCTCTTGAATCACTTTATTAATTTAAAGAACATGTTATGATCTTCAACATACGTTTTTTTAGTGAGATATCATAGTCCTTATTTCTCCAAAAATTAGAAGTAAAATTCATAGAGTTAGCTGGAAGAAATCTTTCAAAATTAGCTCAAGCTATGTGGAAAGAATTATAAAATAGTAAATATGGTAAAAAGAGAAATTATTAAGAGGTTTCACCATCAGGTGTAGCACATAATGTAAAGAATTTTGAGTAAAAATATAAACACGGAAGAATAGACTGCGACAGAAACACACACACACACATATATATATGTGTATGTATATATATATATATATTAGTTTTTGACATTTTTAGTGCAAACCATGTAAGGCATACCAATCAGAGTGAATACAAAAGACAATCAGAATGGTTCAATAATGTAATGTTTGATTATGATATAAACAAAAATGTAACATTTTCCGATCCTAAAATATAAATTTCAGATAGATACTCACCTCTCCATAAAATAATTAGCTAATGCCTTGGTGCTACTGACAAAACATTTTTTAACATGTGCCAAACCACTGAAAGAGCCCTCACTCCTGTACATAATAATGTGTACTGTGCTAGTTTGTGATGCAATCAACATCAGATTAAGCCCATTCACCAATATGAGGGTGAAACAACCTCCTTCACAATATTCCTCTTGGACACTTTGTGTAAATCAAAAGCTCATTCCTAACAAGGCAAATATGCACACTGGAAGCTGAGAGGTAGGTTGGGTGGTTCTGCAAGTATCTATCTGAAATAAATTTTCAGAAAGAGGAAATGTTAACTTCAGACAATGGTACTCACCTCTCCAAAGGACATTTAGTTAGAAACTCGCATTAAAAAGATGATGGGTTGGATGGTGTGAAAAAAAAATGTATAAAGATGCTCCTTTTTTTAATGTAATGACGAAATGGAAAATCTTGGAGTATGCCTCCCACTGGGAGGAGAATCTGGTGGGAGCAGAATAGTAACAGGCTGCATCTATGTCTAGCAGAGAATAAATATTCTATACCCAACATCAGTAGTTGGATGCTAAGAAACTTTTTCAAAGGAATTCCTATTTCTACTTTCTGCTTAAGTATTGATGCAGAAAGTGAGGACACTAGGAATAAGCAATTTTATTTCCATCTGAACTTTGGCTTTTACCTGTTTTAGTATCATACTCATTTGAAATAAAACTGTTTTTCAATGAATTTGACTCAAAAACACATCACTCAGTAGTAAATGGATATTAAAAACTGCAGCAGCAAGACACTTTCTGTCAGGCATTTGTGCAGTGTGCATGTGTTGATTGGTTGCTTAGTGCAGTACATGCACAACGCACGATATGAGAAAGATATTGGCACAACAATGTATGTGTATTCTTTAATTTGTGGAGATGATGTATTAGTATATTTTTTAGGAAGGGGTAAGAAGAGCCCAAAAATATTCCTGCTTAGAGCCTTCCAAGGGATGCAGGTAGAAGTGTGGCTAGAGCAATATGTCAAATTGTTCAGAAAGAGAAATACTTACGTGAAATATTTACAAGAATATGCAGGTTCAGAGATAAATCATCTCAGACTTGGGTCAAAAAGAAGAACCCAAAGCCCATCCAGCTGTACTACTCTTCCAACTTGACACCTCTGCCCTACATCCAATTGAAGGGTGTATTCACTTGGTCTCATACTAGTGGGAATGCACCAACCTGAAGGAGAGCTCTGTATTTTGACCCCCTCCCAGTGACTTGGTACAGAGTAAAAAAAGGGTTCTCCTGCTCCATTAGAAGAAATTGTGGGGGAGGAATCTGCATAGGACAGAACATTAAAGTAAGTTGATCAAACAGAAATCATCTTATCTGTATAAGATCCCTCACAGAGAGACTGTGCAATCTGTTATCATGAATAAGGGTAGCAGAAGCTGTCTTCTTGAGCAGTTGCTTAGCCACATTTCTTCCCCATACAGCTTGGAAAGTAATAGATATTTATACCATCAAAGTAATCTTGCAGAAAACCCCATCTAAACAGTGGGTAGATGGGCTTAACACTTTCTGTTATCCCCACTTGATACAGATTCTGGGATGGAGAAATCTCTCTCTTTAAGGGATAAACATTAAAAAGATAAAAAGTGACATCTCCTATGGAGAAATGGACAAACCAGATCAGTTCCTTAACCCAATTTCCAGTCAAAGTAGAAAATGATAAATCTTGAAAAGCAGATAGATTACTGGTAGGTAAAAAGTATTTCAATTGCTTCTATATGGGACTGTATGAGAAATGTAACATCATATTGACCATTTAAGACAAAAACAATGATCATGATTTGAACAATAACACAGAGAAAAGAAAATGAAAGGAGACAAAAATATCAGAGCAATGTCTTTCCACAAGATAGATGGAGAAGAAAATAAACCTTAAATAAAAGACAATACAAGGAATAGCTGAACAAAGATTCAAACAGAAAACTTGTGAGAGCCCTGAAAATTAAACAGAGGTTCCAGTCCTGAATAAAAACTAAACAAAAATGATGACTAATTAGAAATGGCTTGAAGAGGTTCTTAAGAAAAGGAAAATGGATAGGGAAAAGATGGTGGAACATTGACACAGCTACTTTGTACCCACAGACTGCAAAAATGGATAGAACATTCTAGAAAACTGGGTAAAAAGGAAGTGAGATAATGAATATTCAAATGACCCAGAGGAAGGGAGAAGCAGATGAAGTGGCATTAATAAACTATCCACTTTTGCTGATAAGCCAAATATGTGGATAGTCAACAAAAGTGATCAAGAAAATGGGCTACTCTGTGATAAAAATCCTGATCATCTTGCAAGGAACCAGAAAAAACAAGGCTGAAGATGAAAGAAATAGAAACTCTTGGATTGCAAAAGGTAAAGGAGCAGAAAAAACAACCGAGCTAACCAATGGGAGATAATGAAAAGAAACCTGGGTTCTGCAAGTTAGGCACATCTTTGGAAGATTTCAAAGAGGATGATAGACATAAAGATAGAGGTTGGAACAATCCTGACTCAAAGAATTCACCACAGAGTTTGGGATTTGTGGCAAAAGGTGTGGAACTTGGTGTTGAGGATAAAAGTACTCCAATGTGTAAGGACCAATCTGTTGCAAGGATACTGTCAGAGTGAGATAACCAATCTGCCACTAATATCAAAACTTGTGGGACATAACAGGCAGACATCTGGATGAAGTGGTTGTGGGTCCAAAAGAAATCTTTAGAGGGAGAAGTCAGAGGTTCTGAGAGTGAGTAGTTTCCTATCAACTGATGTAAGAAATTACAGGAGAATTATCTGAACAGATCATGATAAAATGACCACAGAGACATAAGATAATTGTAGGCAGGCTGAAATGCCATCTTGAGAACAATGATGTACATAGGCTGCTCTTTTAGAGACCACATATCATAAACAGATGTAAGACTGAGCAAGGTGAATGAACAGGAATATCTAAGGCTGTGAGGGAATGATCAAATCACCATAAAAGTGAGATGAAGAGATAGAGGAAGAGAAATGAAAGAAGTCAGTACATCCCTGAGAGATAAGGGACTTGAAAAAATGTAGTCCCTGAAAGAAACAGAACCTCTCAAGCAGTAAGAGTAGACATGAGAGTTTTTGTAATCAAAAGCTCCATGTTTTGGAGATCTAAAGAAGGGATCTTAACCCACCTAGCAATCTAAATGTTAAAGAGCCACCAACTAAATCAGATACTGAGTGGAGGTCAATACTGACTATGAGAGCTTGACCAACCAACCAGAACAAGCAGAATTCCAAAGATGTGAGGTCAAAGCAGAGAACACCTTACAAAATGAGAGAAGGCAGAGACAATCATCCAGACAGTAATGAAATTGCAAACCCAATGAGTTCATCCTCCATGCAAAAGCTCTCACAACCTGGTTGAGAACATACAGGGCTGTAGCTAACCCACAGGAAAAAAGGCCCTGAACTGAAAATTCTGACTGTTGTTGACAAAACAAAGGAAGCAAATGGTGACCAGATACATGACAACATGGAGAAAAACATCTACATCTTCACCCTTAGTCATACACAACCCAGGAAAAATCACCCACCTCAGATTAAGAAAACCTTGGGATGAGAAGAAATTTGTTTAACAGTAGTAAACTGCCAATCCTCAAACTTCTTAAGGATTACAAAAAGGCTGGAGCAAAACCCCAGAGTGGGATCAAGGATCTACTCCACAGTATACATTGCTCAATTAAAATTAACTCTTAGAAACAACATGACCAAGATGGCCAAGCATAATGTTTAAAAAATTATAGGTCTAGCCAATAAATGCATGTTGATATAAATTATTACTGTAGTCCATATATTACTTTGTTGTTAAGGGTCAAAGGTGTACATAAACCTTTTTCAATAATCACAAAAATTATGATGTAACATTAAATCAGCATAATATATGGCATAGTTATGTTAAAGATCAATTCTTCCCTATATACATATGTTGTTTGTGTTTGATCAACTACCTGACTGAAAGAGGAACTGTGTGATTCCAGAGCCTGCTGCAAAGGGAATCCACAGTTGCAAAAGTATAAGACTTGAACTCCCACAGGACAAAAGCAGAAAATTTGCTCCAATAACTAGTATATACAAAGTGAAGTGAAGATGCAGGAAAGGGACTATTGGATGAATATAAGAATAGGGAGAACTAAAAATCTCTTCTATGAGAAGGGCCCAAAAGGGAGTTAACTGAGATAAGACTCAGTAAGCCAACCACACCAACAAGATCCCAGAAGCAAAGAAACTAAGTTAAGTGGGCAACAGCTGAAGAAGAACACAAAGTATGGAGAAAGGTAGATATGATTTTCCCTAGTAAAGCTGTCATGGTTGTGATGCATAGCTTCAGAAAGATGTAAAGAAAACAGACAGAGAAGAAGTTGAGCAAACAAAAGACAAACAAATTAAGAGAAGAGAGTGACAATGTAGGAGAAGAAGATCTTAAAACTAAAAAAAAAGAGATTCAAGAGATTGTAATTCTAGGAGAAAAAAAAAAACAGGATCCAGCCCATAAATAGAATACGAGTCTCAAGGTCGAGGAAGACATGGTAACTGTGAGTCAACACAAAGCTGAGACAGAAAAGAATTTGCATGAATACGAATATAAGGTGAGGAAAGAATAAGAAGTCCAAGTTTATGGCTCAAGCAAAAAGCCTGCTCATGTCACATATTTGAGATGTCAGAGCAGCACAAGATGAAGGTGGTGTCACTTGACCCAGGGGTTTCATTCAGGAAACATATTGTTTATTACACTTATAAAAAGGATCCAAAACATTTATTAAAAGGTTTTCAAAGGTATACAAACATATAAAAGAGGGTCAATATGTTTTGCTTGAAATTTTGCTTATAAATACTCTTTTATGCTCATGCCAGTCTCTTTTCTTCACATCTTGAGGTAAAAAAATTCTGCCAACCATTTTAGTTTTATGTAATGTATACTCATGAAGGGACATCCAACAAATATTGAATGGTGATTAGGTAACACTTTTTCACCATAATTGCCTTTCACTGGTTTTATTTCTAGCTGAATAATGAATGATGACATACTGAACCCATGTTTTTTCTTCCAATTCTGTGATTTGTCAAACTCAGTATTGTAAGTTAGATAAAACATGCCTCACCTAATATGGTGAAAACTACTGAGGATATTATAAACTATAATGTTAATAAAAATATCCTTTGGCTCCCAGCTGAAATGTAACAGCTAAACCCTGTTTGTTGCAAGATATCAATGCAAAAAAATCCTCATGCATGCATACAATGCTCAATTAAGGTTAATTCTTAAACAACATGACAAGATGGCCAAGCATAATGCTTAAACAAATTATAGGTCTGGCCAAATCAATCTTTATTCATATTAAAGGTAATGTAGTCTGAAAAGTCCAGGTAATTACAAGGTTGTTAAAAAAAAACAATAGAATGAACATATTTAGTCCAAAAATAATGGATGGATGTAGATAATAAAGACAAGAAATTTTAAAATATTTTGACAAAGGTATAAGAAGATCTCAACAAGCATCAAAAGAAATAACTTAGAAGAGAAGGCAATGAACATCATTAAGGTGGACAATAAAGTCATACAGGGAAAAAATATTGTCCATACTAAAATAACTGAAAAAAAAAACAGTCTGTAAGAGTGTAGAGTGAAAAATCAATAAACTAGAATATATTTAGCATTACATTTCAAAGTTTGCATTAAATGCTGGTACACATGTAAAAGTTGCTAACTGAAAACTAAAATTAGTTTTAAAAAAAACTTGATCCAGAATCTGCACATTTCAAGTACAAATCTAAAAAACTGCAAAACTAGAAAAAAAAAGGATTTAAAAGCTAGATTTAGCATGATTTGTTTCAGATTATCTACACTAGTACTAAAAGGTTTGGGTCAAATGAACTGATCTAGGAAATATTTCTCCAAAAACAGTCCCTCAAGTATTATTCTTAATCTAGTAAAATTGTAGCTTACAGAATATCCAAATGTTAAACAAGTCTAATATATGCTATGCATACAAAAAACACAACAAATTCACAAGTGATCCCTCACAGTCTCTCATTATTGTGAGTTGGCTCAAATAATTCATTAAATTAAATTAAAGCAGTCAAACTCACACAAAAAATACACAGAATATGAGACTTCATCCTCTCTGGTATCTTTGATTATTCAAAACAAATCTTCACAATCCAACTAAGATCCATGAGTAAATAAGCAATGCTGTATGTAGCAAGACAAAATATGGATTCCAAAGTAGAATTATTCAATCCAACCAACTATAAGAATCATGATAAAATGGTATATTCAACAATAACGTTGCACATAACAGATAGAGGAACACACATATATAAAATTTCAAGTTGACAAGAAATGCTGTTCCTAGCCTACTACTGTGCATGGTATTAGGTGTTAATCTCCTGAAGGTGCAATAGAGTAAAATATTGAAGCAATAAAAGGTTATTGCTGAGAAAAAGACTATTCTCTTTTCTGTTAGATATTTTATGTTGTGATTTCCCCTATGCCATCTTCATTTCATCAAAACAGTACTTTTCTTGCTTTTTCAAAAAAGACTTAAAACATCTAGACGACACTCAAACTACACATACATACATACAAACACGCACACACTCTGTCTCCTAAAGCCAAAAACTACCAACCTTCAAAATAAAAATAACTCAGAAACATGTTAAAATACTAAAAACAAAGACAAACCATTAGATATATAATGTTAGGATAAGACCATGAAACCTAACTTATGTGCCCAAATTATAGATAATTAAATGTTAAAAATGACTTCACTCATTACTGATTTTTAAAGTCATAAATTTTGCATCAGTATGAAACTGGTGATCTTGACAAGTAATAAGTGCACAGTAGTTTTGAGAAAATCTCTGGCAGTAAATAAGACTTCACTGTTTCACATGAAATACTACAGAGATGTTTTGGATGAACTCTTATAACTTAAACAAGTGTAACCATGTTCATTTATGTACAAAAAAGTTTTTTTTACAAATTCCTCACACTCTGATGTTAATTTTTTTTTAATGGCATGTTATCTTTTACTTTCGTGATTTTTTATTCATTTTTTTGTCTTTTGCTTCACTCCAAGCTAATGGCATCTATGAATTTCTAGAAATTCCACTCATCAAAAACTCAACACCAATTAAAAACAAAATGATCAAGGCTTTTCCATAATGGAGGATAACAATTAATATGCATTTATATGTGTATCTGTTCTATTTCAAAACCTGCTATAAAAAAGTTCACATGAGTGAAACAAAATATTGCCTTCCTGCAAAATACACTACAGTCAACTATAACAGGTTAAAATATCTTTACTAACAAATAAACTGCCATTACAACTAAATATGATTTACTAATTCACTAATTATCTGTCCTACTTTTCAAAGAGCTTCATTAGTAAGCATAAAACTCAGTGAAACTACACTTTTTCAAAAAGGAAAAAAATTATTAGTGACAAGTAGATAAATACTAATATACTTACACTTATCACTAAAAGAGGTTTCATTTAATCCTTCAGATCTGTCAGGAATAACCTCATTCTTTGAGTGGTAGAAAATGTCTTTGAAGGATGAAAATGGTGGATCAGTGCAGGACAGCTCTTCTCTCCCACTTTTTAGACCAGATGACTCATTTTCATGATAACTAGATGTGTCAAATTCTTGTTTTTCCAATTTCCACAAAGAATCAGATCTACTGTATTCCATGCTCATATCTGGAGTCTTGGATCCATTTCTTTCAAACTGAAAGTCATCTGAAGAGACCAAACTGAAGCATTTGTTGCTTTGAGAACTGGATCGTCTCCTGATTCTGTTGCAGTCTGTACTTCTTTCATCAGGTTTGTATAATGTCAATGGGCTTTTGCTTCTTTTTTTCTTCACTGGGTAATCTTTTTGGGAGTATTCTCTTTTCCCTGATAATTTTTGCATATCTGTGTAATCCCCAACACATCTTTCATTCTTGACATGGAACCTTGATACACCATCAAAGGAAAGGCTTCTATTTTGGCTACTTCGAAGCTGTTCACTACTGTAATTTTGCTTCTTTCTTTTTTGACTGCTACTTCTTGTTCTTCTAGAAGTGTAAGTTACTTGATTTGGTTTAAGATATTTCATACTTCTGTCCCTGTCACTATGTTTAGTGTTACATCCTGAACCTTCCCTACTATTTCCAAATTCACGTTTAACACTTTTATTGCTAAAATTGATCTTTTTATCCTGTTCACTTTGTTGGTTTTTGTTACTTCTGGGACTATCCTTGCTGTTCTTGCCTTTTTCTCTTTCTCTATCATTTCCACATCCATCTTTGCTCTTCTTTTCCAGAAGATGCACATCACTTTTTTTTTGCTGATCTTTATCGCTTCTACAATTGTCTTTCTTTTTGCTTTCCTTGTGCCAATCTGGGATAATCTGAGAACAATCCTTACTTTTCTGTTCTTGAAAATTTTGAGAAGCATTTTTGATCTTTTCCTTACGATATTCTTTATCATTATGTGAATAAATGTTTTCTTTTTTTTTGTCTTTATTACTTTGAGGAGCATCTTTGTTTGTTGTGTCTTTCTTATCTGTTTCATTTTGAGCATTATCCTTGCTCTTCTCTTTCTGCTGATTTCTACCATCTTGAGGATCCTTTCTGCACATCTCTTTTATTGGTTCCTTGTTACCCACAGGATTATTTCTGGTCTTCCTGGTATGATGGTCTGTATGATGTTGGTAAGCATCTTTGCTTTTCTGCTTTTGCTTGTCTGTGCAACTCTGAGAATTTCCCTTGTTCTTGTTTTTCTGTTCTTTGTCACTTTGAAAATTATCCATCTTCTTATTTTGATGATCTTTATCACTTCGAGAAGCATCTGGGTTATTCTTGTGCTGATGATCTTTTTCACTTAGAGGAACATCCTTGTTTTTCTCTTTCTGTTGATTACTTTTACTTTTGCAATCATCTTTTTTTTTGTCCTCTTTATAGCAATTTTTGCTATTTTGGAAGCTATTCTTTTTTTTTTCTTCTTGTTGTTCTTTGAAATTTTGTAAAGCATTTTTATTTTTAATATTCAAATCTTTTTCACTTTTTGACCAAACTTTTTCACATTCTTGGAGTTTATTACTTTGAGAATCATCCTTGTGCTTCTTGTTTTTTTGGTTCCTCTCACTCTGAAAAGTGTCCTTCATCTCCCCTTTCTGCTGCTCCTTGTCAGTTTGACAACTATCCTTGCTTTTCTCTTTCCGCCATTCTCTGCCATCTTGAAAATCCTTCATATTCTTTTCTTGTTCTCTGTCACCTGAAGAATTATCCTTGGTCTTTTTATTTTGACTGTCTCTATCACTTTGAGAAACATCATTTTTCTTCTTTTCCTGGTGAGCCCCATCACTTTGAGAAACATCATTTTTCTTCTTTTCCTGGTGAGCTCCATCACTTAAAGAATCATCCTTGTTCTCATTTTGTTGGTCTTTATCGGTTCTAGAATCCTTCTTGTTCTTTTCTTTCTGATGTTTTTGGTCAGTTTGAGAAATATCTTTAGTCGTATTTTTTGGCTGGTCTTTATCATTTTGAGAATTATCTGTGCTCTTTTTGTTTATGTAATCTTTGTCACTATGAGATTCAATCTTCATTTTATCTTTTGTTTGGTCTCCTTCACTCTGAGAAATTACAACATTATTTTCATTTTCATGGTGCCTATTATTTTGAAAATCATCCTTACTTTTTTGCTGATACCCATCACTTCTTGAATCCTTCTGGGTTGCACATCTTTGGTGATTAGTGTTACTTCCAAAATCCTTTTTATTTATTATTACATTCTGTTGATCTCTATCACTTGGAGTATTATTTTCAAAATTTTCATCTTTTTCTTTGTTTCCTCTGCACAGGTCCTTGTTAATATTGTCTTTCACAGATTTTCTACCATTTTTTTCAATACATTTATGTTCTTTATCTAATGGCATTTTCTTGCATTGTTCTTCAATTTCAGAAGATTCATTTTCTAACTTCCCATTTATTGTAATTGCAGATTCATTATCATCCTTTGAACTTGAAGTGTCCTCTATCCTTTGAGTCTGTATACTCATGTCTGAAGAATGGCCTTTTTCCTTTTCTTTTGCTATTTTAATATTTTCAGTTTCCATATTTTCAGGATTGGTTTTAATGTCAAACACTTTATAAGAGTTTTTATCTACTTTTGAAATGTCTTCTGGATTATCTTTTTGTTCACTGCCATAATTATTTACTGACTTTAGATTACTATCATGTTCTGCTTCTTTCTTCTTTGATGATGAAACAACCTTATTATGTTCAAATAACTTTTGAGTTTTATGACACACATGTGGATTATGCTTGCTTTGTTTCTGATTAACTTTCCTTTTAGAATCTTCAGAGCCACTAGAGTTTGTTTTCTTTGCATTATTATTTAGGGTGAATGATTTGATTGCCTCTTCTGACCCCCTAACTTTTGAATTAGATTTTGATCTACACTCTCTCTTATTTCTATCATTACTACTTGTCTTAGATCTTGATTCTCTAACATTTTTTTTATTTTTAGAGCTTGATATGGCTCTAGAGTTTTTTGAAGAACTTGTTGGCTTATTATCTGAAGATCGTTTTGTTTTATTCAATACACATTTTGGATCTTCCTTCTCTTCTACAGGTCTTGCAGAATCTAAAGATTTTATTTTTCGTGAGGTACTGGACAATTTTGAAAAGCCTCTTCTTAAGCACATTCTTCCAGATGATGGTAGATCAGCTGGCAATAAGATTTTTTCATTTTCTGAGAAATGTGGGCCTTCCTGAATGGTATACTGTATATCAGATTTGTGTTTTAAAAAATATTTATAAGTTGTTATATGAAATTTCTGCCTTCCATAAAACTTTTCTAGTTGCTCACAAAGATCTTCTAATGCTTTAATAAACCTTGAATCCCATTTCTTTGGATTTGTAACAGGAAATTTCTCTCCATACTTCGGCAAGTGTTTCTCCTACAATGGTTAGAGGTGAATATATTTGTAATTAACTCTGAGCACAAATGCATAGTTCACTCGTCATCCCTCCCCTCAAAAATATTAAAAAAGGTCATTGTAAATTTTGTATTAAAAAAAAAGGATAATCCTTCATGGAAGTATGTTCCAAAAGATAGACAAGACAATTTTCTTATAAAATGGTTTTACTGCAACTTGTCAACTAGATCATACACACATATAAACTCCACATTGAGCTGAATTATGTTCAGATAAAAACATAAATCAATTACAAGAAATATTACATACATCAACCAGCAAATATGGGTAGCACATTTTATTTTTAAGAAGTATCGGAATAATATACAAAGGAAACATTTCAATAATGATTTCTCTAAAGAATATAAAAAGTGGATGAAACTGAAGCACAACCAAAGTACAAAATAATTACTAAAAACCTATACCAAATCTTTATTGCCACATCCTCTTGTTGATTATGGCAAGTCATCAATTCAAAAGTGACAGTTGGGAGTCTTTAATCAAATGTAATGTCCAAGCATTAGTTAGGAAAAAAATTCACACTTATTATATTAAATTTACATCTAAATTGATATATCTATATTTAGAAAATGATAAATGTTCCATTACTAAAATAATTGTATTTTAAATCTGCAAAATTGTGCCTTAAAATGATTTAACATAAGTACTTTTGTGGTAAACTATACACAACATCTTGTAAAAATTTCTATTATTTAATAGGAAGATGCATGTTCATTTTGTAAGATTGAACAAAAGTCTTCCATTAGTCATGTATCATGACGATTTTCTTTCCTTCCTTTTTCTTACAAGTAGTATTCTGAATCTCTGCCTCACAAGGCCATGAATGCCAACAAATTGCAAATTTTGGGATTCAACATTTTTAGGGAGTCCATTTTGCAAAAAGCCACCTATGATCATTTAATTTGCTTAGCCAATCCCAATTCCATTAATTCTTCTCTTTTTCAATCTCCTTAAAAAAAAAAACTTTTTAACAATCAAATGTTCACTAATTTCAGTATAAATCATCACCAAATTCAACATGGGTAGAGAGCAGAACACAGTAATTCCCACAAAATATATCTGCTGGTTTTTAATGAATTTGGCATGTTCTGACCAAAAGCTTAAAGCATATAAAAAAAAATTACCTCAAAAATCTCTTTCAGAATGGAATTTTGTCTGTAGACAGAAACTTAACATCCAAACCCATGTACTACAACAAAACAGGTTTCCATTTCATGCTCAAGTACAGTAAATGGCAAAGCCATCTCTTCCTCCTCCTCTACAGGACTATATGTAATTTAGCTGGTACAGCAAGATGTCACATATTACTCAATGCAAGGTTTATGTATATTACACAAGTATTATTGGTAGCAAGCATAAGTTCTTCTCTTTGTTTGTTTTTTTATCAAGATTTCTCATGAAGTTATGAGTACGTTTGAAAAAACCATCCATCAGCCTTCTTAATTTTCCAATACATTTGAAATTTGCAAATGCAACATTCAGGATTTCTAAGTTTTTATTTCAAAACACTTAATTCATTGTTTATAAACAGTATGTATCATACCTTGTAAGGGGCGTTGCAAAATAAATCACACTTTTTTTTCTGAAGTAATGACGAACTTGGTAGGACCACAAATATCATCACTCATGAGAAAATGTCATTTCAACATACTCTTGTGTGTTTAACTCTTCAAATTTCATTTTCTGCTCACTAGAACTCAGAAACTAGCTGCTGACATGCTCCGAGAATTCAAGTCTTCCTTCCAATCATCACATCGCAATGCCAGAGTTGAAAAATCCTATTAATGCCTCACAAGTTTCAGAATTGTTGAATTTGAAAAAGTGGTCCATGAAAATGTGGTGGAATGTGGATTAGGAACTCTTCAGATTTAAATCCTGCCAAAAATGTCAGAGCTTTCATTTAACAATGCACAGAAGAAATGTTGGAAACTTTGCCTGAATGCGAGAGACACAAACATGAAATCATGATTCATGTTCTCACAAAAACATGTTTGTTACATTGCTGAAATCTTTTGCAAAATGATTAAAACTCATGCATGAGAACAATGGTGGCCCAGTCAAGCAATATTGATACTTGGAATTACTTTTTGATTGCATTAAAATCTTATTTTAATTTGTTATGTTCTCGGGGGAAAAAAGTGTGATTTATTTTGCAACATCCTTTATTGACAATGTACATGTTTGTACATAAAAGGTAAGATAGTCTAGACAGTTTTTTTTTTTTTTTTTTATTAACACATTTCATGTACAGTAGCCTCACGTTTTAGGGAAAATATTTTTCTTCATACTAAAGCCTATATGTAAAAACAGAGTATTGTATTTTCCTAAACTTGAAATAAAAATTTTAAAGTTATGCATTATTACCTAAGAATGCCACTTATCATACAATAAGTGTTTCAATCTGTTAAAATACATGAACAAAAATTATAATAAACATATTTTTTTATGAAAGCAGTCTAGGACATTCATCCATCCATCAAGACCTTAAAAATGTGAATTAACTTTTGTTTTCTCTGAAACAAAATAAATTTGTATTATTAAACAGAGCAAGCAAGTCATTGAAATCTAATGTTTGCAGAATATTCATTATGGATTTATAAATATTTCTGGGTCAAAAGCCGAGATTCAAAATCTATACATTTTATCTTTCATAATTTTCACAATAAAAGCATTTTCCTTTTAGTTCAAGGTTTTAATTTTAGTTTGTTTTTATTTCCATTATTATTTAGTTTTAGTTTCAGAATATTAATTTGTCACACTGTTATGTTCAGAACTGAGCTACTGCTCACAAAAAGAAACCACATTTAGTACTGTTCAAGTTACAATTTGAATAGTTAAACCACATTACTCCATTTACATTGTGGGTCAATACCTAATACTGTAAGTGAAAATTCCACAAAGACTTCAGAACATTGTAGTTCATTTTAAAAAAAGATCCCAGTTTCAAAGGTAGATCCTGCTCTCTTTCTTTTTCTTGCTGTAAAATCACCACAAACAGAAAAAAAAAAGTGGTCTACTTAAGCCTGAATAAACAGGTGCAATACACAAGTCTTAACCTAATTTGGATATTCTTAAGCAAGCATTTATGCAAAAGTTGCATTCTTTCTTGCACTCAAGAATATACTTCACTAATTAACTTTCACAGCTCCCTGTTGTTTGCTCCCCAGTGCTAGATGCAAGTTTCTTGGTTAGAAATGTAAACTTTTTTAATGGTGGTGGAGGAGCAGCAGTTGATGATGATGGTTCTTTGCTGGCTGTTACAAATTCACCTGGTGAACCAAGCTGCCTGACTCTTTATGTAGACTTTGGAAGTATTCAGAAGCACTTCTATTTCAAGAATAAAATATAAGTGTTGTTAATGGCTCCATCAGACAGGCTACAGCTGTAAGAGCTTCAAATCCAACAGAACTGAGTTGCATTGTTTCAAATCTCTTACATAAAGACAGCAGCAAACTCTGAGAAAATTAGATGTTCTGATTGGTGTCCTGAAAATAACACTCAAAATCAAATATTGGTGGCAGAACATTTGGAAAAACAAAACCAACCTTCCGTAGAAGGTTTGTATGCTCTATAAAATGCTTGAGTAGATGACCTAAATCTTTGAGTATGGATTACTCATCAGCAATGAATCCAGGCTAGTTCATGGAGTTTTATTCAATTCAGTCTTGACCTCATGCAGATACTGAATAAGGTACAACAAATTGTTCCATTTTGTAGGCAATCTGCAACATTTTTTCACATTTTTCATTGAGTGTTTGGGTAGAAATTGATGATTCTAACATTTTTCACAAACTGCATAGTCTTACCCAAGAGACGCGAATAACTTACTTGCTTCTCAGATTCTTAAAACACATGCTGCAAAGTATGTGCAAAGCACAGAAATCTACAAAATTGCAGAACTTCTTGTAGCACTTTGTTTGTCTCTTTAGACTCTGAGTTGATGAACAATATTCAACACTGTAGGAAATGCATATAACAGCTTTGACCATGTTACTCCCATTATCTGTTACTATGAAGAGTATTATCCTGGGATTAATATCACACTGCTTTAAACTGGACTTAAACTTTTCTAAAATCATCTTCCCTGCGTATGGGACTAAAGCTATGTAAATTAATCAGGATGTACTGTGTTTGTTTCTGTATAGGGTCAAAGAAGCATTCAAAACCTCTTCAGTACACAAAACTAGTTATATCTATAATTAATGTATCAGAGTTAATAGCTACAGTGTGCCACTACTGACTTAGTATTGTTACAAGGCAGGGGCCATTCTTCCATGTGACTGTTAAAGCACATTGACTTGAAACAATCTGTTCAATGGCAGTGATGTTAGCCAATTGTACAGTACTAGCATGAGGCATGCAGAAAATCAGCTGAGTTTTGCAATAGACAGGTCCTCACACAGACCATTTTTGGCCCTAAAATCCAGTGAATATTAAAGCACTGAGAAAGAAAACATAAATTGGTGCTTTTGGTGGTCCTTGTACTGCCCCACCTCCCATTAGGTTAATATCACGATTTGTGCAATGCGTTTGTCAACATAAGGTAAATATTATGGATACTGCATCAATCTCTGCCAAAAAGCAGTCACTATCACACAAATAGACATGACTTTAACAAGCACATGCACTTACCACCATAGTATTTCCACAATATATGTTATGGGATATAATGCATCATATATGAAAAGAAAAAGTGGTACATTCATGTGCTCACAGTATAAGAACAATAAATAAGTCATCACAAATGCTAAAACACTGATATTTAAAATACTGTGACATCTAATATTCATACTCCTTTGGTTTCAAGACTGACTGACCAGCATACATGCTTAAGCATGGCAAATATGACTGCAGTTGGCAAAGAGTACAATCCATGTCATCTCTGAGAACAAGTGAAGAGAGTTGTGCCCAATTTGGAATAACTGAAGAACAATACGAACAAAGCTGTGGAAAATGGGTGC